CTCACTCTCTAATAAACCCTCTGTAATCTGACTGGTGACTTCATCATTCAACTAAGATTTGCTCTCCCAAAGTTACCAGTGATTTCTCAACTGCTAACTCTAATGATCTTTTCTCAATCTTCATTCTTGACTTTCTGAAGCCTTTGACACATTGAGCAGAACATGCTGGATATTCTCACTTTCCTGTTGTTGTTTTGTCCTTTGTTCTCAAAGAGGAAGATGATGCCATGACTTGCAAGTGTATTAGATTTAAGTGAGGGAGGGCTGTGCAAGGTCACCAGCCTCACTTTCTCCTCTGGAGCCATCTGGGTCCAGTGGCCAGATATAGATCAGGATGACTGGAGATGGCCCCCTCTCTCTTCTCTAGGTTTTCATGAAACTGCCATCTCCTGATTCTCCTCATACCTATCTGACTGTGCTGTGTCCTTTACTGGTTCTTCCTCCAGGTCACACCCACTAACTGTGAATGTCTTTCAAGGATTTTGTCCTAAGTCTTTTCTCTCCCTCTATACTTGCTTTTTGATCTCATCAATTCCCAAGTATTCAGTTATCTCTGCTAAGGCTGATTATTCTCATTATCTGTTTATCTGGTCTTAAGCTTCTTCCTGACTTCTACTCTCACGTCACCAACTAACCGTCTTTTGGACATATTAAACTCAAAACTTACTATTTCTCTCCCTCCTGCCCCATACATTCCTCTTTAAGTACTATTAAAGGCACTGCTATCCTTCCAGGATTATCAAAACTTAGGTGTCATCTTTGACTCCTCTCTTGCACTCACCCCATGGATCTAATCTGTTGCCAAGTATTGTCATTTCTGTATGCACAGAGTGTCTTGTGTATGTCCCTGTCGCTCTTCTGACGTAGCTCCCACTTTGATACAGGCCCTTATCACCTTGCCTAGATTATTCCAATAGCATTCTGGTTGGAATTCTTGCCTGAAGTCTCTTCCTACTCCAGTCTATCCTTCACTCAACTGCCTCAGTGATCTTAAAGCACAAGTCTGACTCCTCCCTACTCAAGAATATGCAGTGATTCCCTATCTAGCATTAAATATAGAATCCTCTGTTTGACATTTAAAACCCTGCATAACCTGACCCCTTCTTACAAAGTTTTCTTATGCTTTATTCCCATCCAGGTATCATACAATCCAGCAGAACTGGCTGCCTTGCTGTACCACCACCCCCCTTATTATTCCTCTTTCCCTTTCTCCTCCCCTCCTCTCTCCCTCTCTCTCATCTAAATGTGTGTTATATGTATAACACATTATATATTATATACTTATTTCTATATATGTGCATTGTAATTACTGTACATATATTATGTATATGTTATATATCTCTAAATCTGTATTATGCATGCATGTAATATAATTTATATATACATGCATTACATATTATGGCTATATAATATATAGTTATATGTGTAATATATGTTTTTTATGTGTGTATAATGTATACTTAGAAATATAAATATATATGAAAGAGAAGTATGTAAGGTACAGCAAGAAGGCCAGTTTTGCTGGATTGTAGAGAACATGGGTGGGAGTAAAGCATAAGAAAACTTTGTAGGAAGGGGTTGAATTATGAAGGGTTTTAAATGCCGAACAGAGAATTCTATATTTGATGCTGGATAGGGAATCATGAGATATTCTTGATTAGGGAGGCAGTCAGACCTGTGCTTTAAGAAGATCACTGAGGCAGCTGAGTGAAGGGTGGACTGGAGTAAGGAGAGACTTAAGACAAGAATTCCAACCAGAATGCTATTGGAATAATCCAGGCAAGGTGATAAGGGCCTGTATCAGAGCAGTGGCTATGTTAGAGGAGAGATAGGAACATATACAAGAGATTTTATGAATATGTAATCTCTCATGTAGAGCATCTAGATGGCACAGTAGATAAGAGTGCCATGCCTGGAGTCAGGAAGACCTCTTCCTGAGTTCAAATCCTGCCTCAGATACTAGCTGTGTGACCCTAGGCAAGTTACTTAACCCTGTTTGCCTCGGTTTCCTTATCTGTAAGATGAGCTAGAAAAGGAAATAGCACACCCATTATCTTTGCCAAGAAAACTCCAAATAAGTCACAGAGTTGGACAGAACTGAAAAATGAATAAACAACAACAAAAATCTTGCATATACATAGTTATTTGAATATCGATTCCTCCATTAGAATGTAAGCTCCTTGAGGGCAAGGATCATTTTCTGGACCAAGTTATTGTACTTGGTCCAGCATTCATAAGGCAGCTAAGTAGTGCAGTGGATAGAGTGCCAGGCCTGGAGTCAGGAAGACTCATCTTCCTGAGTTCAAATCTGGCCTCTGTATCTTTGCCAAGAAAACCACAAATAGGGTCACAAAAGTTGGACACAACTGAAAAACAATTGAATAACTGAACTGGCACATAATAAGCACTTAATAAATGTTAGTTTGACTAAGTACACAAAAATAGATAAATCTCAGACCTTCCTCTCAAGATACTTACAATCTAATATATGAGATACACTACAGTGATAGAAGGTAGTAAGTGCAAAGAAAATGTCTAATCAAATTGTTATCTGGAATTTGAGGTAGAAGAGAACACTGTAAGTAGAGGTAGAAAGAAGGAGATCAGTGGGTCAGGACAAGTTTTTTGGAAGAAGTACCATTGGACTTGGGTTTGGAAGGAAAAGGGACTTCAATGGGGAATTAAATGTACTTTTGAAAGCTGAAGCATAATGTGTATTAACCTTTATGGCTGATCATAGTGGATACAGCCACTTGAATTCAAGATCTGTCTCTGACACATATTGATGTCTAACTCAGAAAGTCGTGTAGCATCTTAGTACCTCAGGCACCTGTCTAAGAATATAAATTGCAGAGCAGATATTGACTCTAGTGGTAGAGGAAGTTGTTTCACTGGGAGTTTCCTACACCAATGAAATCTATAATTCTGAAAAAAATAAAACTAAACAGTCTATCCATTCCAATCACAAATTTAACAGGGAGAAGATAATATATACAGCGGGGCAGGGGGGTGGGCAGTGAAGTGGAGCCTGGAGTCAGGGACACCTGAGTTCAAATTTGGCCTCAGATACTTCCTAGCTATGTGACCCCGGGCACGTCATTTAACCCCTATTTACCTCAGTTTGTCATGTGTAAAACGGGGACACACTGGAGAAGGAGATGGCGAAACACTCCAATATCTTTGCCAAGAAAGCCACATGGACAAGTCCATAGAGTCATGAAGAGTTGTACACAGCTGAGCAACAAGTCAAATATATATGCAATTTTAGAAGAAGAACATAATGGTTCCAGGGTGGGAAAGATTTTCCTTACTGGGACCAACCATGGAAGAACTCACTAGAAACTTTTTATACTATGAAATATTAGGGTGGGGTCAATCAAATTAATGAATCAATCATCCCCTACCCTTACCCTCCACTTATTAACAAGACAGTATAGCCCTGATATCTTATTAGTTGAGAGAACTTCTGTGAACTTTTGCCTTATCTTGCCCTGGGCCCAGGGATCCATGACACTTCCCCACCATCTCTGCGCTATGACTCTATTATCACACCATCTCCATCTCCATCTCCATATGTATGTCTGGAAGCTGAAAACTTGGAGTTTGTCCCCTGGGTCCCCCCAGCTCTGTCAGGTGAGATTTTTCCTTGTCTTACTGGGGCTCAGGCCTCCACATCATTTGACCACCATCTCCCCACTGTGATCCTGCATAGGTACATTCCTACCCCAGTTTCCAACACTCTTTTTTTGTTTGTTTGTTTTTTGGTTTTTGGTTTTTGGGGGGTTTTTTTGGCAGTTGGGATTAAGTGACTTGCCCAGGGTCACACAGCTAGTCAGTGTCAAGTGTTTGGTCTGAGGCCGGATTTGAACTCAGGTTCTCCTGACTTCAGGGCCGGTGCTCTATCCACTGTGCCACCTACCTGCCCCCTCCAACACTCTTTTTTATGTTATCTTCCTCCATTGGAATGTGGGATGTTTGAGTGCAGGGATTGTCTTATTGTTTGTGTTTGTATTCCCAGTGATTAACACAGTGCCCGACAAATAGAAATAGAAGGACTTAATAAATGCTTGCTCTGTGAATCAAAAGCATTAAACAAAGTGAGAATAACCTAACTTAATCAAGGTGAAAGGAAATAGAGTGCTTCGAGTCGCTGGATAAAATGAAATGATGCTATACAAGAAATGTGTTGGAGGTGGTTGAGGAGAAAGCCATACACTATAGGACTTGTATAGCATAGCAAGCTAATTCCGATTCCAGCATTTGAGTCCATTGGAGAGAGTACAGCTAAGTCCTTGAGAGAGAACTGCTTGGGGAGATGGGAGGTAGGCAGTGGAGGGGAAAAGGGAAGTGAAGTGTGCAAAATGTCCTCTTTCTCCTCCACCCAACACTGCCCTTTTCTCTGGTATTACCTTCCATTTACATTATATATATCTTGTATCTACTTGGTTAGTTTAGTGTTGTCTTCTCTACAAGAAGGTGAGCTCTTTGAGTGAAAGGAGAGGGGGGGTAGTTTTGTTTGTTTTGCCTTTTTTGTATCCTCAGCATTTACCATAGTTACTTACATATTGTAAGTGCTTGTTGGCTATCCAATTCTAAAATCACAGGCTATGGAATCATAAATTTAGACCTGGAATGTATCTTAAAGTCATCTCCTCCAACCTCCTTATCTTTTAAAGGTGAGGAAACTGATGCACTGAAAAGGTAAATGACTTTCCCAAGCTCACACAGCATTCAAATCTAGCTTCTCTTACTCTGAATCTAGCCCTCTGCTATACCAGACAACTGCCATCGAAGCAGATATTCTGCCTCTGTATTCATCCTTATTCATTTGTGACAAAAGCCATTTCCAAAAGTAGTTTATTTGACTAACATATTTTTAAAAATTGGTATTTCAGTTTTCCAGAACTCTGCTAATGATCACCTCATTTATATTAAAAATGTGTACTCATAGACCATTCATTTCATACTAAAGATGGTTTTTTTTCTACTTTATTTTTCAGTTGTTCATGGTGGACAATGGAGCAGATGACTGGAGAATAGCCATGACTTATGAGCGTATTTTTTTCATCTGCTTGGAAATATTGGTGTGTGCTATTCATCCCATCCCTGGGAATTATACATTCACATGGACAGCCCGGCTTGCCTTCTCCTATACCTCATCCACAACAACTGCTGATGTGGATATCATTTTGTCTATACCAATGTTCTTAAGACTTTATCTTATTGCCAGAGTTATGCTTTTACATAGCAAACTTTTCACTGATGCCTCCTCTAGAAGCATTGGAGCTCTTAATAAAATAAACTTCAACACGCGTTTTGTTATGAAGACTTTAATGACTATATGTCCAGGAACTGTACTGTTGGTTTTTAGTATCTCCTTATGGATAATTGCTGCATGGACTGTCCGAGCCTGTGAAAGGTAAGGTAATTTCTTTCCATGAGAATATTGATTATGCTATTGTTTCTCTCTAAAAAGGAACAAGAATTAGGTGCAAGGATTCAGGCACATTTAGCCTTTCTTTTTTTGTTCCTGACACCATTCTCTCAAATAATTTCTTCCTGATTCTAATACTAGATATGTGTGTTTTGGTTTTTTTTTTATAAATGCCTGTAGCAAACCTGCTGGCAAGGTGTATCTGTTTGATTATGTGGCTTAGGGTAATGTCATCATGAATGTATGCATGTTTTCTTTCTCATTTACTCTACATGGAGTTTCTGGTCAAGGATTACCTTTGCTTTCTGTGCCATGGTTTATGGCTATGGAATATATAAATTTGATTTTCACTGAAAATACTAGTTCAGTAGAAGCCTTGAGTCATCCCAAGTCCCCATGATCCCAGGCACACCACTGCAATTCTGCCTGCAATGTTTGTGGCCACTGTGGGCATGTCCTATAAGAAACTTACCCAAGTTAAACCCTTTTCAGGCTCACTGATTCCCAATAAATGGGAATAATCCCATCCAGAAGGACCATCTCCTTCTTATCTAGGCTAGATTAGAAACCTTAGGTCACCTCTAAAATCTAGTAGATTGGTGGAATGAGACCTGTCTCTGGGAAGTGCACAAAATCATAGACTTAAAGGATAATTTGAAATCATCTAATCTAGTCCTTTTCTTTCCTTAGCCCTGTTTTAAAGATGAGGTAACTAAGGCCTGCAGATGTTCCATAGTCTTTCACATTGGAAGTTTGGGCCTATGTCTTTTGGCTAACTACGTTATTTCTTTGTTCCTCCACTGGTTTGAAGGAGAGCCAACAGTGAGCTGGGAACCATGATGTTAAACTTTCTATGTTTATGCCTGGTGTCAATAAATTCATAGGGCTCTGGCTGTAGTATCTAAAGAGACTTGTATTTTTTTCTGTCTCTTTGTTGACTGCAGTTTCAAATGCTGTCAAGTTCTGAGGTGAAGAACTGGTGTGTGCTAATGTTATAAATGAAAAGTCTTTACTGAGAGGAAAACCTCTGAAAATAGCTTTGAAATAATGTTCTATTGCCACTTTTGCAAGGAGAAAAACTGGTACAATGTCAAGTGTAAATACCTCTGAATTTTGCCTGGTTCTTCCTCAACTTTAGTTATGATAGATGGACCAAAAGTAAAAAAATTTTGGACAAAATAAATAAGTATATGAAAATTAGTTCGGTGTTTTGTGATGACCTAGAGACCTTAAAAATTGAAGAAATAAAGGATTCTCTTCTTATTTTTACAGCCTATATTCTTAAGATATAGTATATTCCTGTTTAGATTGCCGTAGTAAGACTTTAAAAGAAATTTTTAAAAATAATCCTATAGCCATCCTTGTGGTTTCATAGTCAATCAACAGGCACTTATTAAGCACCTACTATATGCCAGGCATTGTGTCAAATGCTGTGGATACAAAAAAAAAAGGCAAAAAGACAGTTCCTCCTCTCAAGGAGCTCATAGTCTAATGAGTGAGACAAAATACAAACAGCTATATGCAAACAGGATATTTCTATAGATATTTATCTGTCTGTCTGTGGTAAATTGGAAATAACCTTAAAATGAAGGCACTAAGATTAAGAAAGACTGTAAAAAGGTTTTTGTGGAAAGTGGGATTTTAGCTGAGACTTGAAGAAAGCTAGGGAATCTAGGAGGCAGGGATGAGGAGGAAGAGAGTTCCAGGCACGGTGGACAGCCAGTGTCTGGTGTTAGGAGATAGAGGGATTCAAGAGTTATTTCTACTATTCAATAGAAACTTTTAAAATTAGAAACATAAGCCAAATCATGTTCCCCAAGCATAACTGTGTACACTAAATGTTGTATATACCATGGCATGGTTATTCTTTATTAGTAGCAGCAACATTAGTTAGCATTTCTCCCGATTTTGTAGATGGAGAACAACTGAGTCACTGAGAGGTTAAGTACTCAATTTCTCAACATTGCACAGTTAATAAGTGATGGAGTCCAGACTTAAGCTGTGGTCTTCTAATTACAATGCTAATTTTTTTTTCTGTTTCACTGGTGCTGCTCATAATAATAACAGATTTATATAAGTGTTTTTCAGGTTGACCAAGCACTTCTCTTATAACTCAGGTATTTTTAAAAATTTAATAAATGTTTAATCTTAAGGCTGTCTAAAAGGATATATAATTATTGCTTATTGATTGGCTGGGTACCTCACTTTTGTTTTTATTTTTTAAATTTTTAATGGTATTTTGTTTTCCCAATTACATGTAAAGACAATTTTTAACATTCATTTTTTATAAAATTTTGAGTTCCTTGATGGAAAATGCTATCTACATCTGGAGAAAGAACTATGGAGTCTGAATGCAGATCAAAGCGTACTATTTTGTCTCTTTTTTTTCTTTCTTGTGGTTTTCCCCTTTTGTTCTGATTCTTCTTTCTCAACATGACTAATGTGGAAATATGTTTTAAAAAAATAAAATAAAATTTTGAGTTCCAAATTTTCTCTCTCCCTCTCTTTCCTCCCTTCTCCCTAAGACAGTAAGCAATATGATATAAGTTATATATGTGCAATCATGTAAAACCTATTTCCATATTATAGCTCAGATATTTAAAAAAATTCTTTAGGATTCCTTTGAAAATAGTCAATTTGCAAAATCTCCATTCAAAAGACTTTTTTTCCCCTTTTATTGGAGAGTCTTAGAGAAGTGCAAACAGTTCTTAAGAAACAATCAGTTGATAAACATTAAGTGCTTACTGTGCGCCAGGCCCTGTCTTGCTTGACATTAAAGTGATTGAGATTGAAGCAGTCTAAAGGAGCTTACATTCTAATGGGAAAGAAAAGTAAAGAGTGAATAAACACAAAGTAAATACCAGGTAATTTAGAAGAGAAGGAAGTCCCTGCCAAGTAACAGTTAATGTGATCAAGAAAAACTTGATGAGAAGATGATGACTGAGTTTTGTCTTGAATGGGAGAGAGGGACTCTATGAAGCACAGAAAAGGAGGGAATGCATTCCAGAGATGAGAAAAGTGATAGAGATGGTCTTATGTGAGAAACAGTGAGAAGGTAGTTTGGCTGAAAAGCAGAATGCAAGATGGTGAGTAAGGTATGATGAAGTTAGAAAGAAAGATTGGAGCCTGACTTTCAAATCTCAACAGAGGAGTTTATGTTTTATCCTAGAGGCAATAGGAAGCCACTGGAGCTCATGGAATAGGGAAGTCACACGGTCAGATATGCACTTAATGAAAATTACTTTGACAGCTAGGCTGGAGATACAGAGACTTGATCATGAAACCAATTACACTGTTACAGTAATCTAAGTGAAAGATAATGAGGGCTGAATTAAGGTGGTAACTGTGTGAGTAGAGAGACGGGGTTGGATTGAGAGATGTTGTGGAGGTGAAAGTAGAAAGATTTCACAACTGATTGTATGTGTGGGATGAGGGAGAGAAGAGTTGAGGATAGTGCTGAGATTGCCAACCTGGTAGACTGGAAGGATGATGTGTTGTGGACAGAAATAAAGAAGTTTGGAAGAGGGGAGAGTTTGGAGGAAAAAATAGTGAATTTTGTTTTGATCATGTTGAGCTTGAGATATTACTAGAAAATCATGTTTAAAATGTCCAATAAGCAATTGATGAAGTGGGAATGAAGCTCTAGGGAGAGACTAGAGTTGGATATATATAGATCATCTAGACTGAGGTGATAGGTAAACCTGTAAGAGTTGATAAGGTTACCAGGAGAATGTGGAGGAGAAAATAAGGTCCTAGGAAAAGAATGTTGTATAACACTCACAGTTACGGGTGTGATGTGGGTGATAAGCCAGCAAGGGAATCAATAAAGGAGAATGGTAAGAGAGTAATGTCACCAAAAAAACCAGAGAGGAGGGAATATGCAGCAGATACACTGAAAAGGATAAGTATTGAGAAAAGACTAGGTTTGGTCTTTAAGAGATCATCAGTCACTTTGGTGAGAGATTCTTTCAGTGGAGTGATAAAGTTAGAATCCAAATTGCCGAGAGTTAAGGATTGAGTGAAAGTAGAAGTACAAGTGGTAAGCGTGAACAGGTTTTTCAAGAAATTTGGTTGAGAAATACATGCTGATACAACTTAATAAGTATAATTTTACAAAATTTTTATAATTCACCATCTGTTTTGGTATTTGCAAAGGCTATCCCCAAACGAGATAGTGAAGGATGAAAAAAGGAAAAGAAATCAAGCTTCCTCTTATAAAAGGAAACCCTGGTACCTGCCAAGCTCACAGAAAACATAGAGATTTAGGGTCTATTGGAAGTCACACCCCCTCACCCTCAGGTGAGAATCCGTACTGTGCTGTTTGAAAAATCATCTGTGATTCTTTTTAGCAAGTAGAGTAATATAACTAGAGGTTAGTATAAAACAGCTCCAGGTGTTCCTTCACACACCAGTTATACCAAAATGTCTCTTGAGATCCTTTAACACATAAGGTGATCTCAGTGAAGATGCAAACAAAAATTTCCTCTGGTTTCCTGCACCAGAGAGCTCCTGAAATTTCCCCAAGTGATCCTTAATAGAATTCCTAATTCATTTCTCAGTAGGACAAGTAGGTAAACTTAAAAGGAAAATAGAAAAGCGCCAAAGAGCTATGAGCCACCCCCCAAAAAGCTATTAATCCCTTGGGATTTATTACTCAGCTAACAGGCAAACCTTATCCAATGGATTTGCAGCCCATAAGGATCTTGGGAAAACTGTCTGGACTCATACCACAATAAGGCAAGTAATCTACATCTGCTTAAAAGTAAAAAAGAAAAAAAATAACATGAATGAGGCACAGAATTCCCTAGGCACTGGTATTTTAGGGATGCAAAATCCATACTACTCACATTAGCTATAATGCTTATAATAGACAAAGAAATACAACAAACATTAATACTTAACTTTTGTTTGAATGCATATGCCAACAAAATTGGTCTGACTTAAAAAGTAAACACACAAGGAAATCAACTCTTCTTCTTATGGTC